CAGCTTGATTCATTCTTCGGGCTGTTATTACCAAGTTCAGTAGTCTCCTTTTGTTCAGCCGCGAACTTCATCGGATCCTGCTCCAGCACGAAAGAACTGACCCCGAAAGCGAAGCTCGGCACATCATCCTCGTTCGTCATGCTCGATAAAAAATCAGTCGCTCCGTTGTTTTTCTCTGATATGGGATTTCTCGGGAAGTCGTATTCTTGTAGGCACAGCGCCTATCTCGCCACCTTGCCCCTGGGATCTTCAGATGACCTAATCCATTCCAGCGGTTTGTGATCTGTTTCGACGTGAAACCGTTGATTCAACAAGTACGACTGCCCCCTTGTCCAGACGCTCCTTCTCCACTGTTGCTGACTTGCATTCTGATGATGTCCTATTCATGCTGGCATATTCCATCCTCCCATGCTTCTGCCTCAGCTCGGCACCGATTCCAACATCGCTTGCGTCTGTGGCCACGATGAACGTGTCTCCGGAGATCAGCAGTTTCAACGTCAGTTTCTGTCTCTACCCATCTCCTGCATTCCCTTAAACGCTTTCTGAGTTTCTGCCTTCTGAGTGCATGCCTTTCTTTCTCCTGTCGGCTCGTACGAAGGTAATGTCAAGCTGTTAAAATTCCTAACGAACTTACTGTGGTATCTGGCGCGGCCCAAAAATGCCTGAAGACTGCATTTTGAGGTCGGAACGGGGTGCCCCTAAATGCTAAGAATTTCTCCGCCAACAGCTTGTGTTCACCCTGACCCATCTTAACATCAAGCTGTGTCACGGACGTTTTCCCAACTTGAGATTAAATTCCATTTACTCGCGATCTCGATTGCTGTATTTTTTGCAACGTTACTTTCGATGACGGTGGTGTTCTGTCTCCGACTCACTATATATCACGTTGTCGTCTCCATACACGGCCACATTCTCTCACGGGTTTCACGGGTTTGCGCAGAACGAGTAAGCGTAGCTTTTCGGTGGTTCTGCCTCGGGGTCTTACGGCAAGGTCCTGATCTCGTCGGTAGGTACCAGATGTTGTGGGTCTCGACGCCGTAGTG